CACGGCGCAGTGCTGCAGTTGGAGTTCTGGCAGCTCGCCTTTGATCCCGTTCCTGTACGGGAAACTGCCCCTAAACTCAGTCAAACCTGTAAAGGCGAAAGTGTCTGCAAATCACTTATAACTCATGGCTCAAGTCCCAGTGGAGATATGGAGAATTTCAGTCACGTTGCTCCTGGCTTTCTCCAGGCAGAGAATCCTTTTAAAGAGTAAAACACCGTAAGGGACTTGCTAAACTTCAAATACTGATTTGGTTTGCTTTATAGAAGATGCCCACCTTTGAGATCTGTGAGGAGAAAACAGACAAACATACACGTTGCAATAGGTATGCTTTTGAAAGTGGGGCAGAAGCCTGATTCCAGGTATTCATGAAGAATTAAACATGGGATATACATCATTCCTTCAGAATCCTTATCACTGTGGAAAAATCTGCAGTCTCCTAGAAAACCTTGAAGTTTGGTTGTGCAGCTCCGAAAATGGCATGGCCTGCTTAACTATACAAACCATCCCTTTTTCAAGGTCCCTTCTTTATTCCACCTTGCTGCTTCGTTAAACTGATTGTTCTGCCAGGACTCTCTGTGTAAGACAAAGTGATGGCAGTAGAGGCACTACTTTGCCATTGTTGACTACTTTGAGAAGAAAAAACAAATGCACTTACATGTGAGCCAGTATTTCTGTCCTTGTGAGGCCATCAAATTTAGCTTAGAAATAGTCCAAAACAACCTGTTTAAGTACAAGCATGTGCACCCTTAGAAGACTACTTAGCTGCTTTCTTTGTGATGTTGTAGTGACAAAATTGAATAACTGAGAAAATTAAGAATACATCCCCTGCTAAAAAGAATAATAATTGCATTAGAAGCACTGTAATGGAAGTTAAGATGAAACATGAAATAAATTAAAATTACAAATCACTGATTGAGATCAGACATGTGTGCATTTCAGAGAATATAATGCTAGATATGTAATTTTAATTTGTCATCATTGAAAAGTAGCATAAAGTTGCAAATTTGCTCACTTAGCTTCCTAAAAGTGCTAGTTCATTGACATACCTAAATAGAAATGTCAATTCAATTGAAATGTTGAAGACATGTATTTATCACCCTGTTTCTAGGTTGTGGGGTAATGACAAAATGGAATTTTCTATGCCATTTTCTGATTTTAGCATTCACAGGATTCTTTCTTCAGTCTTGCAGACACTTGCCCTTAAGACATATGGATCACCCAACTCTCTGAGATGATGTAATAATTATCAGGCCTTGAATTACAATGCTTAACTTATTTACATGTTTAGGACTTCCATGATTTTTTTTTTAAGAAACAAAACACTCAACAAAATAGAAACATAAGAGAAAGAATTGAGGATTATTGAGGATGTTTTGAAGAGGAGTGAAGTGAAAATGTATTAAATATGTTCAGTTGTACTGCATTTACAATAGTAATCAAAAAGCAAGTGTTTTCTTTTCTGATAAAGGCTTCCATGATATTATTTTTAACATTGGAAGCCTATAAGATATCCATGCTGTGTCAAAATGAGCTTTTTTTTCCTGCTCACTTAAGAATCTTGGAACTTCAAGAATAGTATACTATGCTTGAAGTATATCACATTAAGTTACTTATTCCTTAATCATCACAGCAAAGACTTCTGTTCTTTCAGGAAAGGCAGAAAAAAAGACAGATATTATTTAGTCAGTTAAAAAAGGGTTGTTTGTGGTTTGTTTTTATTTCTGCAAACACTTCAACTAAGAATAGCTTAGAATTTAAACTGTTGCCATAGAAATTTATGCCTTTATACATGGTAGCCTCCTGCATGCCATTGCAGAAGAGTGAATGGAATTCTAGAAGGAACCTGAAAAAAATTCAAATTCATACCCAGGGTGATATGTGTCATTTTGAGAAGTGTGCTGTTGGAACTGCATAGAAATGTGTTATTATATTGCTTTACTAAATATATTGGCTGTGTCAGTTTACTTTATAACTTCAGTGCAGCTGCATTGAAAATACAGTTTCAGATCTGCTTGCAAACTAAATGATGTAATCTTTGAGGGGGTTTATTGTTCGGTTTGAGTTAGAGGTTTTTTTCTTAGTTTTTTTTTTTTTTAATTTAGTTTTGGGGATTTTTTTAACAAGCCTGGGGACAGATGTTATCTGATGTAGAAGAAAAGGCTTTATGTACAAGTCTTTACTGAGGTAGAAAAGCCATAAAGAACACAAGGTGAATATTTCACACCTTTTTTAGCCTGTAGCAAAACTCATTAGGGTGAAAATAAGGGCAGAAAGAGGCTGAAAAATGCTCATCCTTCCCAACAGAATAATTTCTACCTTCCATTATGCATGAAACGATTTGTAGATCTCACAAATATGAAAGATTCCCAAAGACAAGAAGCTCTTAGCAAAGTGACAAACTCTTTCCCTTTGTATTTTTGTCAGTGGTTTCTTGAGTTGCAAAACGCAGCAGGAATTTGTTTGAGATTAAATGAAAGACCTTTAAATTACTCTTTTTCTCTTCTGTGTAGCCTTCTCCAAGACAAGGCTTCATCTGGGACTTTCTTGGAAAATGGTGCACAAGACATAGTCAAATCCTAAACATTTTTGTTTTTTCTTATATTTGGAGTATGAATCTGCGTGGCAATTATTTTATTCTATACCCAATTCTGTAATTTTTTGTACTATTTGAGTCAGAGAAAGTTTGGCTACATTTTTATTTGCATATAATCAAAATGGGCACTCTTAGACATTAAAGGATCTCATTAGGTAGATCTTTCCGTATTTAGGAAAGTTCCCACAGACATATATAAATAAGATTGGAAATAGGACAATTTCTGCGGCTGAATATTATTCAATGTGCTTGTGGAGTACAAATTTGTGGGATTTTTTGTGATTTATGAAACAGAAAATTCCAGGCATTGGGCAAGACTTCAGAGTATTTGACTACTGCACAGATGCCTTTTTTTTGTATTTGGGAAGAAGTCAGAGGGTGAAGAATTAATAGGTTGTGTTGGTAAGATATGGTTGTCATGCTGATACTTCTGCTATCTATTTAAAATCATCAATCTGTTTAAACTGTATTAGGAGTATGGACATGATCAATCAAAAT